AAAAAAAAAAAAAAAAAAGAAAAGAAAAGTGCCCTGCCGCTCGAGAATGCAGACACTAGTCGGGTGGGGGTCCTGACTCAAGGACTCCCCGGCTATGTCGCCCGGGTCTTCACTGTCCTGGTAAAGGCCTAAAGTGTCCCTGAAATGAGGCACCGTGGAGCGAGCAGTCTGCGGACTGCAGAGGGGCCCTACTTGCTAATGTTACTCAACAACACGGTACTGACTCTAGGCCAGCCCTTGCTTCCAGCTGTCCATGACAGTCTCGCCACTCTGGTGCCCGGACGCTAGCATTTCCATTTTTCAGGAGAAAGCTGCGGAAGTCAAGTGATTTGCCCGTGGGTGTGGCTCTGGCATCCCCTCTGGTCCCAGGGTCCTAAGCACCATGCTGTGCCGCTCCGTTGTTGTTAACTGGCCTTGTGGCCTCGTTGTTTCCTAATCTGTAACATCAATAACCCAAAACCAGTGCGGTGGCCCACCCTTAGAAGATCATCCAAGTCCTGGAGCCCCACATCGCTACAAAGGATGTTAAACAAACTTGGACGTGGCGGTTCTAACGACAAAACAAACCAAAAAAAAAAGAGAGAGAAAGAAATAAAAATGTTGCCGGGAGTGGTCACTCATGCTTGTAATCCCAGTGCTTAGGGAAGTTGAGGTGGGAGGATCGCTTGAGACCAGGAGTTCAAGACCAGCCTGGGTGACATAGCAAGACCTCATCTATACAAAAAAACAAAAACAAAAACGGGGAGACACCTCTTATCAACAAGGGGGCCTGAACGAAGCATATTTGTGTACCTAACCCTTAACTGTACCCCACAATATCATAATAAAAAGTACTGATTATAAAAAAATTTTTAAATAAATAAATACCCCTTTAAAAAAAACAAAAACAAAAAAAAGAGAAGTGTTCACAACTCATTAAATATTTTGCAGTAGAAATGTTGAAAAAATTAGCTTTTGAAATAATTGGTTTTGGGATATTTCATTAAATTTACAATTGGCTGTGCTTTCTTAGTTCAGGTGTGATGGCTCATGCCTGTAATACTACCACTTTGGGAGGCAGAAGCGGGAGGATTGCTGGAGTCCAGAAGTTCTGAGACCAGCCTGGACAACATAGCAGGACTTCGTCTCTACAAAAAAAAAAAGTTAGCTGGGTGTGATGGTGCGTGCCTGTAGTCCCAGCTACTTGGGAGACTGAGAAAGGATTGCTTGATTCCAGGAATTCGGGGCTCTGATGAGTCTTCATGGTGCCACTGCACTCCAGTCTGGGACACAGAGTCTGGGTCCTGACTCAAAAGTAAATAAATAAATACAATTGGCTATGGTTTCTTGTTTATTGTGCATAATATGAAATGCCTTCTTTTTTTGAGTCAGAGGCTCACTCTGTCACCCAGGCTGGAGTGCAGTGGCATGCTCATGGCCACTGCAGCCTCAGCCTGCTGGGTTCAGGTAATCCTTCCACCTCAGCCTTCCAAGCAGCTGAAACTACAGGCACTTACTACCACACTGGGCTACTTTTTTTGATTTATTGTAGAGACAAGGTCTTGCCAAGTTGCCCAGGCTGGTCTTGAACCCCTGGGCTCAGGAAATCCTCTCACCTCACCCTCCCAAAGAGCTGGAATTACAGGCTTGAGCCACCACGCCTGGCCGAAATGCCTTTCTTAAAAAACAAAAATGTTTATAGGTAGAAGAATGGGGTTGACAATATTATCTTTTATAGTTATTTGATTAAACATTTACCATTTTTGCATATTTTGAAGCCAGCAAGTTTTTTTGGTTTTTTTTAAGTTGGAATCTCACTCTGTCACCCAGGCTGGAGTGCTGTGGCACACTTATGGCCACCGCAGCCTCAGCCTGCTGGGCTCAGGTGATCCTTCTGCCTTCCAGGTAGCTGGAACTACAGGTACACACCACCACACCTGGCTAATTTTTTTTATTTATTGTAGAGACGAGGTCTTGCCAAGTTGCCCAGGCTGGTCTCGAACCCCTGGACTCAGACAATCCTCTCACCTTAGCCTCCCAAAATGCTGGGCTTACAGGCATGAGCCACCACACCTGGCTGCCAACTTTCTAGCTTCCCACTGTCCTCCCACCTTCCCTCTGTTGCCAGGCTTTTCAGTTTTTTGTTGGGTATAGATGTTTAGAAGGGTCACAGGCGGTGAGCGAAGTGCCTCACACTTTCATTTCTCCCACCTCTTAAGCCTGTCTTTTGTGTGGCCATTGTTGGTGATGTCGGTTCATGGGCAGCAGCTCCTGCTTTGACCCTCTCTATTCATAGCATGACCTCTGTGTCCCTTAATTCTTGTTGCTGACAAAGCAAGAATTTTATATTTTTTGATAAAACCCTGTTTTTTGGAGTCAGGTTCCTCATTCTGTCGCCCAGGCTGGAGTACAGTGGCACAACCACTCACCACAGGCTCACCACAGCCTCAACCTCTTGGGCTCAAGTGATCCTCCCTTCTTAGCCTCCCAACTAGCTGGGACTACAGGCACTGTTACCACACCCAACTAATTTTTGTGTTTATTTTTATTTTTTTGGTAGAAATCCCCCCACCTTGGTCTTCCAAAGTGCTGGGGCTACAGGCATGAGGCACCATGCCTAGCCAATAAAGCACTTTTTTTTTTTGAGCTGAGAGTCTCACTCTGTCACCCAGACTGGAATGCAGTGGCATGCTCACGGCCACCACAGCCTTGACCTGCTGGGCTCAGGCAATCCTTCTACCTCAGCCTTCAGGCTGAATGAACTACAGGCATGTGCGGAGAGCTGGGACAATGAACTACAGGCATGTGCTACCATGCCTGGCTAATTTTTGATGTATTGTAGTGACAAGGTCTCACCAAGTTGCCTGGGTGGATCTCGAACCCACGGGCTCAGGCAATCCACTCGCCTCGGCCTCCCAAAGTGCTGGGATTACAAGCTGAGCCACTGAGCCTGACCAGTACTTTTTTTTTTTTGAGTTGTAGTCTCATTCTGTTGCCCAGGCTGGAGTACAGTGGCACACTCATGGCCACCACAGCCTCGACCTGCTGGGCTCTGGCGATCCTTCCGCCTTAGCCTTCCAAGTAGCTGGAACTACAGGTGCGTGCTACCACACCCAATTTATTTTTTGGTTTATTGTAGAGACAAGGTCTGGCCAAGTTGTCCAGGCTGATCTCAAACCCCTGAGCTCAGGCAATCATCTTACCTTGGCCTCCCAAAGCTCTGGGATTACAGGCTTGAGCCACTGTGCCCGGCCGAAGCACTTTTTAATGCCAGTATTACTACCCCAACTCCAAATTCTGCTACAGTCAGGGGAACGGGACAGTGTCAATCTGTGCAGTGAGCATTCAGTGCTGGCTTGTATGATGGTGCTAAGATTTACTAAAGATAGTTTCTGTTCTCTCGTAGCTTTAACATACGGGGGAAGACAGACCAACAGAATTATAATCTGAGAATGCTGAGGGTGCAGAGCTGGGGAGGACATTGAAAAGGAAGGTTTGTCAAGAAAAACTTTATTTAGGAAGTGGAAGTTGACTTGGGAAAAGGAAGGGTCCTACTTAGAGAAATGGATTAGGGTGGAGGGGGGTTAAAGCGAGTGTGAGGAGAATGACAGCCTGTGGGGAGGGGTGAGCACTTGTGTCTTATGTATGCACTATGCTTTGCTGGGTGACCCTGATCCATTTGCTCCTCTGGACAGCCTGTGAAGTAGGTCATAGTATCTCCACTTTGTAGCTGAAGAATCATGCTCTGAGAGGTTGAATGACATCTCTAAGCTACATTGTGCTGGTAAGTGGCAGAGCCACTGTTTGAGCCCAGATCTTTGTGATGACAGTTCTCGTGTCCACGTGCTTTGATGCCCCAAAAGTCCAGGCCTAAAGCATACATGTGTGTCACCTTCTGTGTTCTGTGTTCAGGCTTCTGCATGTTGTCATCTTGTGTGCGCCTGGGTCCTATGACAGCCCGACTTGTGGATTCTCTGACCCGCAGTTCCTCCCGTTCCTTCATGGATTTGAAGGCTCTCCTCTCCTCCCTGAATGACTTCGCGTCTCTCTCGTTTGCGGAGAGCTGGGACAATGTTGGGTTACTGGTGGAGCCAAGCCCGCCACACACTGTGAACACACTCTTCCTGACCAATGACCTGACGGAAGAGGTGATGGAGGAGGCACTACAGAAGAAGGTAGATCTCATCCTCTCCTACCACCCACCCATCTTCCGCCCGCTGAAGCACATCACCTGGGCAACGTGGAAGGAGCGCCTGGTGATCCGTGCGCTGGAGAACCGCGTGGGCATCTACTCTCCCCACACAGCCTACGATGCTGCCCCCCAGGGCGTCAACCACTGGCTGGCTAAAGGACTTGGTGAGAACCTCTTTTTTCATTTTGATATTTCCCTGAAAATACTTTGAAATTTTTGAATGTCTTTCCGGTAAACTTTTAACTGCTTTAAGGGTGGGGAGGGCGTTATGAGTCAGTGTCTCACTCTTCACCCAGGCTGGAGTGCAGTGGCACGATCACAGCTCACCACACCTCCAACTCCTGGGCTTAGGTGATCCTTCCACTTTAGCCTTCCCAGTAGCTGAGACTACAGGTGTGTACCACCATGCCCAGCTCATTTTTTGATTCTGTTTTTTGTAAAGACAGGGTGTTCGTGACCTGCCTGGGCAACTTGGCGAGACCTCATCTCTATAATAAATCAAAAAATCAGCCGGGCGTGGTAGTGCATGCCTG